GCCCATCTCGTCATCGTCATCGCCGCCTTCTGGGCCCGGGTAGGGCGGCTTGCACACGCATCGTGCACGCGTATGGGGACACGGACACGCATCGTGCACACGTGTGGGACATGCACACACATCACACATACGTGGGACATGCACACGCAGGGGACACCCCCGCATCGCACACATATAGGGGCACACCTTGCACACACATGAGGCGCACACTGCCTGCAATTGCAGGCAACACGTGCACACCACGCACGCTCATAGGACATGCACATGCATCATGCACATGCATGAGACATGCACATACATCACACAAACAGGGGAGATGGATGTGCATCATGCACCCCAGGGGACACACCTGTGTTGCGCACACATAGGGGACGTGCAGCTTGCACACACATGGGTTGCACACTGCCTGCCACCACAGGCAGCGTGCACACACTGTGCACACTCATGAGACACCCACACGCGGGGGGCATGCCGCACGCCCACATGGCTGCACCCGGGGGGAGAGCAGCACGCCGTGTGCACACACACGGGCCTGGCGGGTGAAAGCGGGTGGTCCTGATGCCCGGGGTCCCCAACCCACGTGCCTCTGTCTGTGCCGCAGGAGGACAACGTCCGGGCATCGCTGCCCCTGGACCACACGCCCGAGGAGTACGGCCGCCGCGACACCGAGTGCGTGCCCGCCCGGACGTACCTGGGGGGCCGGGGGCGAGAGCAGGGCGGGGCTGGAAGCCTGGACACATGGGGCCTCTCTTCCTTTGGGGGGGTCTTGAAAGCCCCCCTGCTCTGGGGGCTGGGACGGGAGTGGGGACCAGGGGGTGAGAGCAGGGGGCAACTGGGAGCCTGGACACCTGGGGTCTCTCCAGGCCTGGGAGCTTGCCAGGCACCGAAGGGGCAGGGGGCCCGATCCTGGGCCCACCCTCTTCCTCCCCCGCCCTTGCAGGCTGGTGGTGGCCCTGTCGGTGACACTGGGGCTCTTCGCGGTGGAGCTGGCCGGCTTCCTCTCAGGGGTCTCCATGTTCAACCCTCTGCAGGGCCTGCTTTGTATCCTTCTACTTCTTTTTGGGGGGGGTCTCTTTTGGGGGGTCTTGCCCTGCAGCTCCGGTTGTGGCCCCTGACACCCCCCCCCCAGCCTGCGGGGCCCACGTGGGCGCTGCCCTTGCCCTCCTCTTCGTCCTCTTCGAGCAGTGGGACAGCACCGCTTACTGGGGGATCTTTGCCTGCGGCAGGTCAGTGCCCCCAACCTCCCTTCCCCCAGACCCGGAGCGGGGAGGTCTTGTCCCTTGCCCCCCAGCCAGCAAGTGCCCCTGGATCAGGCCTGGATTGGGGCCCCCTGGAGGTGGGAAGACCCCTGCCCCCCCCAGCCAGTGGGTGCCCCAGATTGGGCCAGCACCCCCCAGAGGTGGGAAGACCTGTGCCCACCACCCCTGCAGGCAGTGGGTACCCCTGGATCGGGGGCCCCTGGATGTGGAGAGATCTGTGCCCCGTCATCAGGCCCAGATCGGGGCCCCCTGGATGTGGAAGACCCATTTCCCCCCCAGCCAGCAGGTGCCCCCCCAGTCAGGCCCTGGATCAGTGCCCTTTGGATGTGGGAAGACCCCTGCTCCCCCCCAGCTAACAGGTGCTCCCAGATTAAGCCCAGATCGGGGCCCCTGGAGGTGGGAAGTCCCCTGCCACCCCAGCCAGCAAGGGCCCCTGTATCAGGCCCGGATTGGGGCCCCTGGAGGTGGAAGGACTCTGCCCCTCCCCTCCCTGGTAGCAGGTGCCCCTGGATCAGGGCTGTCCGGGTCCCGGGTGCTTTCCCTGACAAGCGAACGCAGCGGTGGGGGCGCATTGTGGCGCAGCCATCAGCCTCTCCCTCTTCCTGAGCATGCACTGGGAGAGTGCCTCCTACTGGTACATCCTGGGCACCTGCAGGTATGTGGGGGGGCAGGCCGGGGGTTGTGTGCCCCCTGCCCTGCCCCCCTGTCCTGACCCCTGCCCCATGTCTGCAGCGCCTTGCCGGCTGCTGGCGAGATCCTGCTCTTCGTCTCCGTCTTTGGGCTCAAGAAGAAGCCGCTGTGACAGTGCCGGGGCTGCGAGCTTCCTCTAGTGGTGCCCTGGGACCCCCACCCCCAGAATAAATGGGGCTGAGTCCTGGAGCCAGCGCCTGAGCTCTGGGGGGGGGGGGGGGGGGCAGGGGGCAGTGCCCTGTGCTGGCTGCAGCCTCAGGCATGCGGATCTCCCAGCTCCGGCGTTGTGCAGCTGCAGCCTGTGCCGTGTGCCCACATGGAACTCGGGTGTCTGGGGCGCACACACACACAACCCAGGCGTGCGGGGCATACACACACAGCCCAAGTGTCCAGGGTACACACACATAGCCCAAGTGTCCAGAGCGCACACACACACATATAGCCCAGGTGTCCGCAGCATACACACACACAACCTAGTCAGCCGGGGTGCACATACATAGAACCCAGGCATCTGGGGCGCGCGCACACACACACACACACACACACACACACACACGTCCAGGGTGCACACACACAGCCTAGGTGTCAGGCACACGTGCACAACCCAGGCATCTGGGGCACACACACAACTCAGGCATCCGGGGTACACATACGCAGACCCCAGGCATCTGGGACACACACACACACAACCCAGGCATATGTGACCCATACAGAGACACATAACGGGGGGTCTGTCACACATGCATAGACACACACGCGTAAGCATTGAACCCAAGAGTCCAGGGCACATGCACATGCGCACACCCACTTACACAGAACCTAAGAGTCTGGGTCTCACACATGCACACGCACAACACAGACATCCAGGATGGACACACACACACAACCCAGGCATTTGGGGCCTTGCACACAACCTAAGAGTCTGAGACACACATGCACACCCAGAACAGAGGAGCCTAGGACACATGTGTAGGACCTGGGTCACACGTACACCCTGACCATACATCCAGGATGGGCACACACTCAACTCGGGTTTCTGGGGACACACACACAAGAGTCTGGGAGACATGTAGAGAACCTAGGCACCCAGGATACACACACACACAACCCAGGAGTGGGACACACAGAGAAGGGGGTGAACCGAAGAGTCCAGGACACCCACACACTCAAGAGTCTGGGATGGGTAGACACAGACACAACCTAGGCACCTGGAACATGCACATACCACCCAGGCCTCCAGGACACCCACTGAACTTCACACACAGGAGTCCAGGATGCACACAGAACCCAAGCATCTGGGATTGTCACACGCACATAATCCAGGTGTCTGGTGACATGCACACATAGCCTAAGAGTCTAGGACACGCACACATACGGAACCCAGGACACACGCAAATACACACATAGAACCCCAGCACCTGGGATGGACATGCATCTACACAGAATCCAGACATGTGGGATACTGTACACATACACACAGACACAGCCCAGGAGTCCAGGACACATGCAGAACCTAAGAGTCTGTCACGCACATACACACTCAGAACCCAGGCATCCAGGATGGAATGTGCACACTCAGAACCCAGGGATCTGGGACACATACACTCCAGTTGTCTGGGACATGTGCGCACACACAGAGCCCAGGCATCACGCACACCACAGGCATTGGGGACACAGGCAAACACACAGCACCTGAGAGTCCTGACTGGACACACACACACAGGGCCCTGGCACCAGGTACATCCCTTACACACAATTGAGGAGTTGCACATAAAACCCAGACATATGGGACCCACACACACACAAACCCCAGGCATCTGGGATGAACACACACACACACTGCACAACCCATGAGTCTGGGACACAACAAACCCACAGAATTTAAGAGGCCCAGACGTGTGCACACATGCGCAACTCAGGTATCTGGAACTGATATAGGGAATCCAGGTGTGCAGGATGGATGGCCTCACACACACGCACACACACGAGTCTGGGATGGGCACACACATGACCCAGGCACCTGGAACATGCACACACA